TTTAGCCTTGCTGTGGCCTTTAAAAGGCGCGTTTAAGCTGTGATATATATATATATATATATCGATCTTGAGATATTTTGACCGTAGGGCGGAATCCACCAGACTCCACCAGATAAATGTTGGCATGTTGTCGGTCCACCAGATAAGCCAGCTGAAGTAGCCGAAGTCCGGTTCTGCTAGAGTTCTTAGAAACCATCATGTACAAACATCTTAAACAACTTTGTTGGTCTCATTCAAAAACAAAGAACTTGTTATACCAAGAATACTCCTTTTTGATCCCAAAGGAGTTTTCTCTCATTCCAATCGATCCACACACTCCACGTTGCTCGATTTTGTGCCATGGCACCTGCCATGGCAGTATGCCATGTTCCCTCCGTGTTCGCTCTGCGTTTCGCACACGGACCAGGCTGGGCATTCAGCATGAGCTTCGAGGCTGACGTGTCGCTTGGCCAGACCGAGCGAGGCGTCCAAAGACGAAGGAATTTGGAGCTCCAAGATGTTAGAGATTCTATGCGTTTTTTTTCTCCCTCTTATGTCTTGGAGATTCATCATTCTTGGAGAATGATGTATGATTTGGGCATCATTCTTGGAGATGTAAGATGCTGCGGAATGCTGAGAAACCACATGACAGGGACATGTGGTGGACTACCATTCGTCCCCACATCCCAAAGCCTCCCGGGTTTGGGGACATGTTTGGGCCCTGGTCCCATGGGTGAAGCTCCAAATCCTTTGGTGAATGGTGTGTGTGTGTGTCTCGTTTTTCTCGGCATCGATCGGAGGTCGCACCGTCAGAGATCGATCTTCCGTCAGAGACTCCGTATAGCGATAGTCATGGGAGCCTCTTTTGATCGTCTCCAGATGTTCAATGTAGACTGTTCAATAGCCTATATAATTTGATGATGTTTCAGTGTTAGCTAGGTAAGGGGGATGATAAGACTATTGATCGATATATATATATATATAAATGATTGTAAAAGCCTCTTCAGACTTGCGGGGTTGAAATGTCGAGTTTACATTAAAGGGCCGTTCATGCTCGGGATCCATGCGTAAGCATCCAGTCTCAGATGCGCTCAGTTTTTCATGACGCTCAGGATGCCTGATCTCTTCCTGGAGTTGGAGGTCATCAACCTGGAGTTGGTCGAACTCTGAGATTGGATAATTTGATGATATTGGGGTTCTTGAGCAGAACCTTCTGAGATGAACAAAAGCGGCTAAAGACATTGCAGAGTCCCAGGGATCAAGTAGGATCTCCCTGCTAAAGCTGGTGCTACCTCATTGGATATTGACACCGTTGCTTTGGGCCTCGCTTGACAGTTGAAAAAACCCATGGTCAACAACGGTAGACCGTCTCATCCACCAAAAAGCAATTGTTGATCCAAATTGGAGTGAGCTTTGTGCTTTGTCCCCATCCCTGATCGACCAAAAAAAACATTGCCATGATCCTCGACTTGCTTGGTACCTGTCTCTTGCAACCTGTCTCATGTTCCTGTTTTTGTTCAAGTAAGATGTGTTTTTCCCGAATCGGGGAGAAATCCCCCAAACGGTTTGGGACATTTGTCTCGGTGTTCGTTCCGTTCCCTTCCACACGCCCCATCGGCGGCGACTCTCTACGCTCCCCACGCTCGGCCCAAACGGCCGAGGGTGGCGAGAATTGCTTGGGCCGCGTGCGCGTGCCGGTGACGAAGGAGAACTTCCTCACCAGTCGCGAGGAGACGGTGGGGAGGGTATAGGAAGAGGGTAAGAGGTGGGGTGATGTGGGGTGTGGCGAGATGGAAGGCAGCAGATGGAAAAGAGGAGATGTCATGGTGGATAAGGTGGCGCTTGGTGGATGTGGTGGCGCTTGGTGGATGTGTACAGACCTATCACTCAAGAGTCATGAACAGTGTGCAATGTCAGCCATTTGTCAATTCGCATGATTTGGGTATGATCATGTTGGATGTGTTCCAAGACCATGGCCCAGCTTGCTGAATTGCTGAGGGAATCTTTTTGTTTGCTGCCCAAACCCAACACGTGATAGGCGGTAGGCTCGCATAGCTGGTTCGTCACAATTTGTTCGTGGGTCAACCAGGCAACTCCGAGCGCATTTAGGATGCCACTCAAAAGAGAAGCAAAACTGATGAAATTGGTTTTCCTTTTAAAGCAAGCAATCATTCTTAGATGTGGGTCTCCATGTCAGGCAATGCCCGAAGACGGCTAAGACCATGAGAACCGTCCTGAAATGGATGGTTCGTATCAGCCATCAGAATGGGTTATATTTGGTCCGTCAAGTTACACTATGTTACACTCCTTGAAATAATCAAGGAAGTGGAGTTCACCACCTGATTGTAGAGGACTTCATGGTCAACGGCATGCCATCCACGTAACCATGAGTATGGCCCAGGGAGTGATGCTTTTTGTAGAGAAAGATAGAAACGGTGTCCAATAGCACATGAATATTGGGAACACCCATTTGTTTGGGAGTGAATGCCGAGCTTGAAGAAGGTGTCATCGTCCACGACGCACGCGTGAAGCACAGACAGTGCACAGACAGTGCACGCACGCGTGTCACGCGTGTTTGACTGTCCATAGGCGCCGTTGCGGAATCTCTGGCTGCCAGGGGCCTCAAATTGAAGGGAGGATGGCCCTGGTTCAATCAATGGACACGTGAGGATGTCTGGTGAAAGATGTGGTAAGTCATTCTAGTGACAATTGCCTGGACCCGTACATCATAGTTTCAGCGTAGATGGCCCCCACCCATTTCTTCCGTTTCAGATGGACATATTTGTAGACCATGTCAATGACACGCGCTCATTCGAGTCACTGTACCCCACCTTTGGCAACTCCTGAGGGGTGGTTTGACATGGGGATTTGCCCAAACTGAAGCATCTTTCGTAGGATTTTGGGAGCCACGAGCTCGAGCTCGAATGGCGTGAGCGGCACCTACCAAGAGGGGTGTTCAGTGACCGGACTGGGGCGGCTCACCGCACACCCCGCTTGCACGGCGTCGAGTCAGGCCTCTGGCTGCGCCAGTGAATGGACGCTGGGTGGTGACTTGGCCTGGCCTGGTGAGAGAGCCTGGCCTGGAAGTCATCCACCACTCAGTGCTATACGGCTATACTGTATCAAGAGTGGTCCCCATAGCTAGATAGTTCAATGGTGTCCAATAGATTGATCGTCGGGATCTACTTTTCTATCTAATTGGGGGTCTATATCGGTGTAAAAACGTATGAGTCATGACTGGACACTCATTTGGCGACATGTCGAGATAGGCAGACCCAGATCCACCAGAATGGACGAAACAGATGGGACAAAATGTCCAGAAGTTCAGATTGATTGATCCGCTCTGGTGACTTCGGGTGCAGATTTTGAGCCACATGTGCCCTTCTCAAGATCATTGGACTCAGAAATATCCTTGCAGCACCTTTGTTACGGGGTCTCCAATAGACTACCCTGCACTACATGCAGTGGATCTCCCTTGAGCACCCCTTTAAGGGTGTGACATGTGGCTCAAGACTGACGGGCTGCCGGGAGGCTAGGGGGTTCCCGCCCCATCCATGCGGGTTCGGTTTGGCAGATCAGGGGAAGGTGAATCCCCTGGCATGGGCCCTTTTGTTTCCAGGTTCCAGGATGAGCCGCAGAATCCAAGTTCTTGGTCTCCTTGGTCTCAGGTGGCGCCGTGTGGAGATTTGCACGTGATGACGCTGTGCGTGAGCTTAGCATGGCGGCGAAGGGAGGGATGGCGAGTTAGGCTGTTGCCTGTTTGGGGGGAGGCTATCTTTAGGACATGTGTCAAGCACGAGAGCACCACAATTTACGGGATGAAAGCTGGACTTTCGGGCTCCAAAGCGTGTTCGAAACCAGTTACTTGTGTACAGAGGTGTTCTTTTATATTGCATCACGCCGACAATAGCTGAACCAGAGGCTCAAGCGGCTTATGGCAATAGGTTTGTGTCAACAGCATGCAATGCCATAGAGCCAAGAGGCTTGCCCAGTGTCAGATTGGCCAAATCTCCTTGTTCCAACAGGAAAAAGGTCGCCAAACTCCTCCTGTTCGTGTAGGCTCTTATTTGTACAGCCCCGCAAGAATAGTCAAATCTGGCGGTTTCGAACCAGAGGGTTAGCTCCAGAGATGCCAATAATGCAAGAAGTCCAGCCAAAACTCATCTCCCCTCCAACATCTTCCAACTATTATAGTGTTCCTTTTTGGGTTCCGAACCAACCCATGTGTTTTAACGGAACTTTACACTGCAACACCCGGGAACCCGACCTCGGAACCCATGCCATGGCCGTGGAGCTGGGCGACGGGACCGGCGCCCGGGATCGACGGAGTGGGGATGGGGGCTTTTTGACGGATAGACCACGGTTTTTTGGTCGAAAAAAAAAGGGCAAAGAACTTTTGAAGAACTGTTTTGTTTCTTTGCAGACATGCACACCATATTGATTGTGTTTTCTTTTTTGTGTGTTTATTTCTTTATGTGTTTTCAACCTTTTCTTCGAGGAGTTGATGCAGAAGTAACCCGAGGTTGTCATGAATCCAGGCTAGCTGTACACTTCGTTCACCACTAAACGGTCGCCAATGGCGACCACGCTGGTGTTCTCGAGGTTTGGCCGTCGAAGTGAAGGCGAGTGGCGACCTCTTCCTGGAGACAGCGACCCGGACGGGGACGACGGAGCCCGAAGTTAGACTCCCGAGCCCGGTGCGCAGGGGGAAAACGGAGAAAACGGTGCAGGTTTCCGCCCTTTCCATCAGGGCCCAGATCCCAAGCAGACATGGAGGTGTTTTCCCGAACCGCCATAGCACTGCACTCATGTAACATGCGGAAAGCGTTCGACAGCCATTGCCGATCCACAGAGAACGACTCGTCCCATGTTCCATCGCTTGGTCACATGGCAAGGGGGTGATTTCCCTTGTTCCTTTAAAGTGAGGCTCTAGTTCACTACTTCACTATCCAATATCATCCACTATCCACAAGAGTCTGAGCCACCAAAATCTCTTTCCACCACCATCGCTACTTGGCGATTCAGGTGCGCTTCGCCAGCGGCGATTCAGGTCGGCACCTTGCTGGCGATCCTCTTCCTCTCCGCGCCGCTGGCGCAGGTGGTGCCGCTGCACTCCACGCCCTCGCGCGTGGCGGTGGTGAACCCGGCGAATCTGCTGGCGCTGCATGCGCCGTGGTGGAAGTTGAGGCGGCAGTGGCCCAGGAGTGGCAGGAAGGTGTAGGAGTCGAAGGTCCTATACTGAGGGAAGGAGATACCGAGTCGTCGCTTTTGGGAAGAATGGAAGGACTGTGTACTTGACTTGCTGCAAAAACCATTGTTTGGGTTTCAGCGTAGCAAATTGAACCATGTTGATACGTTTGCTTGTTTTCTTACCAAGACAGAACGCACCAACAAATCAAGTACCAAACAGCGGACTCTGCCTCATGTACACTCCCTGAAATACTGTACTCATGGTATCTCATGGATGGTATGGCCCTGAATGGATGAAAACCTCTGAAAACCAAGCAAGAGGGTGAACTCAGCGAAAACATGATTCTTTCAAGGAGTGTAACTGTATGGACCAACAAAAAACATTATGATGGCTTTTGATGGCTTTTGATATGAACATGATCCTAAATAGAACGATTCTCATGATCTTGTATTTTGACTATAGGGAGACCATCGAAGAACCACGAAAAACACGTGACGAAATCGGAGGAAATTGGAGGACACATCAACATTCAGTTAGTTAGTTGGAAGGCGGTATGTCCTATCGTAGGCGGTGGTTTCAGATCATTTACGCTTGGCAGGCTTGCCCCAGTGTCAGACAGGTACTGCAATCTGTTATAGAGAAACTATAGGTGGTGGTTTCAGATATTTTATGTTCAACCTTTACTTTGAGCTGATGGAAATCCCACTGACTCATCATATTTGTTTTCGTTGAAACTACCGAGCAGAAACCTATGATACCCTTTGCGTTTCCTTGTTCTTCACCCGAAGTCACTCAGGCGAACTGCGCGTCGCAGACCATCTACGGCCTCTTTCGCCCGGTGCCTGCGGCGGTTCCGGCGAACCTCTATGGCCTGGTGGCGAAGCTGGAGAACAACTCGTTGTTTTTCCCAGTGCATCCCAGGCAAACCCCTATAAGGAACCAGGGATTCTAGGTCTATGGTTTTAGTCTTTGGAACCACTGGTAACCAGCTATAGTGGTAACTGGATGCCCTGGGTTTGTTTGTTATGTTTGTGGGCATTTGCCAGCTGTACAGGGGGAACATTGGCGTACGGCGTACGGTGAAGTAGATGAGGCTTTTTGGGATCTCCGGTGGACTCTGTTGCGTTTTGGGCGCTGAAGTCCAACTTGGTCCATCAACTTCCGTTGTTCGGTCCGGATGATCGGTGATCCCAAAAGTGTGTCGTCCATGCGTCCGGAGTGGCCTATTTCACACCCGAACGGGTTGTTTGACGACCGAATTCCAAAATAGGGAGACGAAAACAGTTCGACACGGAGGAAGGGAAAAAGTAGACCAAGACCCATTGGTTGGAGGGGACCCCGACGTTGCCCTATTATGACGTTCCCCATTGGCCTCCACAGTCCAGGCGGCCTCCATCTACTACTTGGGCACCTGCTGGCATAGCGTGTGGCGCCTGCAAAAGTCAGGCCGGCGGGCGCTCGGCGGTTGCGCAGCCGGCGGGCGCTCGGCGGGCGCGCTCGGCGCTCAGAGTTGGGGTCTGCAGAGTCGAACGGGGAGAAGACCCGAAGATTCCAAGCACCATTGATTTTAAGATGTGTATGTGACTGTATGTGTGTGTGTTGAATGACTCGAATCCTGAAGAACCATTGTCTTACTAAAACTTTTGAGTTACACTATTAAAATCAGATCAACAATTGGTTGAATGGTTTTGGATGGCTTTTCAGTAGAATGGCCACCCCCACCGAAGACATGTCCCTTTTTCAGTCGAGGTATTTGGATGTTCGCATCCCACGGGATCCAGTTTGGGCTTGGTTTGGCAGTCCCATGGAGTGTCTGGACTGGTTGGTGGTGGGATTTCATGAGATCTCACGATCACTTGACGTCCTCGGCCACCATCCATCTTCGATCCACCTTCGCAATACTTAGCAATCCCATCCAATAGTTGTTTCCCTGCGAGTGATGATGATGATGATGATGATGATGATGATGATGATGATGATGATG